TCATCATCATCATCATCATCATCATCATCATCTTCCATCTCTTAAAGCACATCATCATCATCATCATCATCATCAGCATCATCATCATCATCATCATCATCATCATCATCATCATCATCATCATCATCATCATCATCATCATCATCATCATCATCATCATCATCATCATCATCATCATCATCATCATCATCATCATCATCATCGTCATCATCATCATCATCATCATCATCATCATCATCACCACCATCATCATCATCATCATCATCATCATCATCATCATCATCAACATCATCAGCATCGTCAGCATCATCATCAGCATCATCATCATCATCAGCATCATCATCAGCATCAGCATCAGCATCATCATCAACCGCATCAGCATCATCAGCAGCAGCATCATCAGCGTCATCAACATCATCATCATCATCACCATCGTCATCATCAGCATCGTCATCATCAGCATCACCATCGTCATCAGCATCATCAGCATCAGCATCATCAGCATCATCATCAGCATCATCAGCAGCAGCATCAGAATCATCCTCATCATCATCATCAGCATCATCGACATCATCATCGTCATCATCATCATCATCATCATCAGCAGTATCATCATCATCATCACCATCATCATCATCATCATCACCATCACCGTCATACCATCATCATCATTATCATCATCACCATCATCATCACCACCATCAGCATCATCATCATCATCATCATCGCCATCAGAATCGCCATCATTAGCATCGTATATAACAATCAGCATCAGTCGCATCATCAGCATCATCATCAGCATCATGAGCGTTATCATCAGCAGTAGCATCATCCTCGTCATCATCCGCATCATCAGCAGCAGCATCTTCAGCAGAGTCATCATCATCATCCGCATCAGCATGATCACCCGCATCAGCATCGTCATGATCATCATCATCAGAATCGTCATCATCAGCAGAAGCATCATCATCAGCAGAAGCATCATCAACAGCATAATCAGCATCATCAGCCTCTTCATCAGCATGAGCATCATCAACATCATTTGCATCATCATCAGCATCATCCTCATAAGCAGCATCATCATCAACATCAGCATCCTTATCATCGTCATCAGCAGCATTAGCATCATCGACATCATCAGCAGCAGCATCAGCATCATAGTCATCGTCATCGTCATCATCGTCATCATCGTCATCGTCATCATCGTCATCATCAGTATAATAGGCAGCAGCATCATCGTCAGCGACAGCAGCATCATCACCATCATCATCAACAGCAGCATCATCATCACCAGCATCAGCATCAGCATCCTCATCATCAGCGTCAACATCGGCATCAACATCATTAGTTTCATCGGCCTCATCGTCATCATCATCATCATGTTCATCATCATCATCATCATCATCAGCCGCATCATCATGAGCATCACCATCATCGTCATCATCAGCAGCAGCATCTTCAGCGTCAGTATCGTCATCATCAGCATCGGCATCTCCATCATCATCATCATCAGCATCAGCATCGTCAGCATCATCATCATCATCATCATCATCATCATCATCATCATCATCATCCGCATCAGCATCATCATCATCACCCGCATCATAATCATAATCAGCATCGTCTGCATCATCATTATCAGCATCATCAGCATCACCATCAGCTGCGTCGTCACCATCATCATCAGCATCATCATCGTCATCATCATAATCATCATCTTCAGCATTAGCATCGTCAACATCATCATCAGCATCATCAGCATTAGCATCATAATCATCATCAGCATCATCATTATCATCATCATCAGCAGCATCATCAGCATCACCCTCATTATCCTCCTCCTCCTCCTCCTCCGCCTCCGCCTCCGCCTCCGCCTCATCCTCCTCCTCCTCCTCCTCTTCCTCCTCCTCCTCCTCCTTATCCTCCTACTCCTCCTCCCTCCTCCTCCTCCTCCTGCTCCTCCTCCTCCTCCTCCTCCTCATGTTCCTCCTCCTCCTCCTCCTCCTCCTCCTCTCGTCATCCTCCTCATCCTCCTCCCTCTTCCTCCTCCCCTCCTCTTCTCCTCCTTCTCCGCCTCCTCCTCCTCCTCCTTCTCCGCCTCCTCCACCTCCGCCTTCGCCTCCGCCTCCGCCTGACCCTTCTCCTCCTCTCCTCCACCTCCGCCTTCGCCTCCGCCTCCGCCTGCCCGTCCTCCTCCGCCTCATCCTCATCATCAGCAGCATCATCATCAACCTCATCAGCAGCAGCATCATCATCAGCATCATCGTCATCATCATCAGCATCATCGTCTTTATCAGCATCCTCAGCATCATCATCATCAGCATCATCATCATCAGCATCATCATCATCCTCTTCCTCCTCCTCATTCTCATCCTCATCCTCGTCCTCATCCCCATCCCATCCCATCCCTCCCGCCCTCCCTCCCTCCCTCCCTTGCTCCCTCCCTCCCTTGCTCCCTCCCTCCCTCCCTCCCCCCATCCCTCCTCATCCCGTTCCTCCTCATCCTCCTGCTCCTCCTGTTCATCTTCCTCCTCCTCATCCTCCTCCTCCTCTTCCTCCTCCTCAGCCTCAAGACATGGTCCCCTTCCCTGCACGGCGCAGCCATCCCAACGCGGCTGCTCCCAGCGCAACGCCATTGTACAGCGATCTGTGTTGTCACAACGCTGACACGTGGCCGGCATATAGTGCAACACATTGTCAAAGATACCGCAGAGGACGATGTGTATTGAATCATAGGGTGAATATGGCGGAAACGCGCCGTTGCGCTTTCGCACCCCCGCGCCATACAGCACGGCTCGCGGCACCGCATAGGCGGTAAAATCAACTTTCAAACGCAGCGGTCGCGATCTCAAGGTAACCAAGACTACATCCTGTCACGCCGCCGAAAGCCAGCTACTCCTCTCGCGCGCCCAGGACCCTTCGCCATGCAGTACGGCACGCGGCGCCATCTAAGGCCAAATCTCGCCCCCGCCCGCACTCGATCAGTTCTCAGACGGCATGGCAGCGCACGCGGCCAGAGACCTGCCGTGGACCCGGCGACAGGTGGAACAGCGCCGCAGACAGCCATGACACACACCGCGGGCACGGCACCACGCCTCACGGCACGGCAAGGCGCCGCAGGAAGCCAGACCCCGCTCCCCTATGGAAGCCAGGGCTTCATCTTGCAAGCTGTGGGCACGGCATTCCAAGGGTTCCTCTTCGTCCCTCTCGTCTTGATTACCATCCATCCTGGTCCTCCCTCGGCCACTACCATCATCGGCAACACAACCGCCACTGTCAGAACCACAATCACCATCATCATCATCATCATCATCATCATCATCATCATCATCATCAGCAGCAGCAGCAGCAGCAGCAGCAGCAGCATCACCACCAGCATCAGCATCAGCATGAGCATCATCATCAGCATCATCAGCATCATCATCAGCATCATCATCATCATCGTCATCAGCATCATCCTCATCATCAGCAGCAGCATCATCAACATTATCATCAACATTATCATCATCATAATCATGATAAGCATCGTCATACTTGTCAGGATCATAATCATCAGCAGCAGCATTATCAGCAGCAGCAACACCTTGATCATCATCAGCATCATCATAATCAGCATCAGCCTCATTGTCATCATCATCGTCATCACCAGTATCGTCTGAATCACAATCAGTTGCATCGTCATCAGCATCAGCAGCAGCATCATCACCATCATCAACAACAGCAGCCGCAACATCATCATCAGCATCATCATCGTCTGCATCATCATCATCATCTCATCATCATCATCGTCGTCATCATCATCACCATCGCAGTCATAAGCATAAACATCATCATCCGAAGCATCATCACTGTCAGCATGATCAGCATCATCATCATCATCGTTGTCGTCGCCATCGTCAACATCATAGTTATCGGACTCCACGTGTACAGTATCAGCATCAGCGCCATCATCAACAAGATCACCATCACCACCGTCATCACCATCAGCATCATCATCACCATCATCATCGCCATCAGCATCATCGTCATCATCACCAACAACACCATCACCATCACCATCGCCAGCATCGTCTTTATCAGCAGCAGCATCATCACTATCGTCGCCGTCGTCTTCGTCATCAGCTTGAGCATCATCAGCTCAACCCCAGATCATCAGCAGCAGCTGCATCGTCATCATCCTGCTCCTCTCATCATCATGAGCATTGTCATCACCATCATCATCACCATCACCATCACCATCACCATCACCATCGCCATCACCATCACACTCACCAACCATGACCATCATCGTCATCAGCATCATCGTCATCATCATCGCCATCAATCATCATCAGCAGCAGCAGTTGCATTATACTCCTGCTCCTCCATCCAGCCCTCATCGATACCGCTGCTTCGGCCACGGCGAACTCCACAAGCGGAGGGCAGCGACGCGCTGCGAGGACGCGCGCGGCGGCAGGGTCTCCCGCTGCTGCGGCTGCTGCTGCTGCTGCAGTTGCTGCTGGTACCCGCCGAACTGCTGGTACTGCTGCTGCCCGAACTGCTGTCCTCGCACACGCGGGCGCCCAGGAAGCTCGAGGGATCGAGGCCCGAGGTCCCAAAAGCATCGAGGGATCGAGGGATCGAGGACCGAGGGATCGAGGGATCGAGGGATGATCGAGGCTCGAGGGCCCAGAAGCATCGAGGGATCGAGGGATCGAGGATCGGGGCATCGAGGCATCGAGTGATCGGGGCCCGAGGGCCCAAAAGGGGCGTCCAGAGGAGCTCGGACGCTGCTGGGCCTCCGGAGACCTCTGCCAGTGGGGACCTCCCTGGGAGGCCCCCTGCCCGCGAGCCGAAGCAGAGGGGGAGAGGCCTCGGCGTGCTCCGAGGAGGCCTCGAGGTGACTCTGGGCTCAGCCTCGCACGGATACCCCCCGAGGGGACGTGACGCCTCCAGAGTATCAACGCCTACTGATGACGACGTTCGCGCGGTCCCTGGAGGCCTCTGGATACCCCACGAGTGGACGTCACAATTGTCGCCCGATCGCCCTCTTGGCCGCCGACGAGCCCAGGAAGCCTCCAAACTGGGGCGGGGGAAGGGAGGAGGACGTGGGGGGGAGAGGAGAATGGGGGGGCAGGAGCGGGGAGCGGAGAGGGCAACGAGGAGAAGGACGGTAACGAGGAGACGGAGGAGGGAGTGGGAGGGCAGATGGGACGAGAGAGCAGGATGGGGAGAGGGATCTTTGAGGATTTGCGACTGTACCGCGCGCAAGGAAGAAAGGAGGGAAAGGGCCAGCGGCAGCGACCGCCGCAGCGGGAGGCGGAGGAGAAGGCGGAGGAGAGACGCGGGAACCAGCCCTCACAACTAGCACAATTCACAACCAACTAGCAACAGCTCGAACCAGCTAAGAAAAACTGAGAAGTCCGACCAGCCCTTGGGAGAGTGAGTGATCTAGCGGGCTTCCTCATCCGATCACCCTTTCTTCCCCTTCGGGGAAAGGTTTGTCACTCCTCCCCGAAGCCATCGGCAGACAACCAGGATCAATGCCAATATCTCCCCCATTATCCCTGCCAAACAACAATATCACGCACACTTTGGGGCAAAGTCTCGGGTCATGCTCGTGGGCCCCGCGAGCACTGTGTATTGTTGTTTGACCGGGACGGCGGGGGTGCCCTCATATTGCCTGCTTTGCGCAGGGCCACCATCCCTGTCAAAATCCTACAACATGCACTTCGCGGCTAAATCTGGGTCATGCGTGGCCACCCCGCGATCACTGTCCATTTGTGAGTGGCAACGACCGCGGGGGCGCTGGCATATTGCTTGCTGTGTGCAGGCCCACCAGAAACCATGATGGCCTCCCCGCCGCGATAGTGCACTGGTTTTCGACAAGGACGGCGGGGGCCGACATGTTTCCCGATGTTTGCTGTCACGTGCGCGATTGCACCTGCACACTGCGCGTGCCCCGGACGTGGCGCACCTGGCGCAGCTGGATCATGCGGCACACACGGTGCAGGTGTAACACGTGGCGCATCTGGCGCGCAAGGCGTGCCTGGCTCGCTTGGGCCCAGGGGTGCCTGGCGCACCTGGAGCGCCTGGCACATGTGGCGCACCTTGCCCCATCGCGCACATGGGGTCTGTATTGCTTTCCATAGCTTCCCATCCACAGACGACCGCTGAACATGCTGAGGCCCAGGTGCTACTCCAGATTTCGTAATAAAAGGGAGGGGGTCTCAACCCTCCCAGACGAGGGAGAACCGTCCGAAACATCGTCCCCAGACCCCCCCAGGCCCTCCAAGATAGCTTGGAAAAGACCCCCCCCGAAATGAGACCCCCCTCCCTTTATTACGAAATCTGGAGTACTTATGTGTTGGGAGAGCGGGTGGGAGTGAGCGAGACAGCTTACGGGCGGGGAGGGTGTCTCGACCCCTCCACCATACACCCTCTCCCTGGACCTGGACGGGCCGTTTAGCGAGCAGCTGGAGCGTCCAAGATGGCCTCGGAGAGAAAGCAAAAACCAACTCCTTTGACCGAGGTTCTGGCCACATGCTGGTCTCCTGGGGGGGGGGGGGCGTAATTTACTACGGCCCATCCTTTGATCGATCGCTTCAAAGGTGGCCCCAAAATGGCCCCCGAGGCTCCCAAGGGCACCCCCAAACGGCCCCAAGAGGTGCCCAGAAGACCCCAAGAGGCCCTCAAGAGGCGTTCAAAATGCCCCAAGAGGCTTCCAAGAGACTCCCAACAGACCCCCAAGAGGCTCCCCAGAGGCTCCCCCGAGGCACCCAACCAAAACCTTCGTCAGTCAGAGCAATCTGAGCTGGCACAAGCGGCGAGGCTGCTGCAACGTCCTCGGCTTCTGCGCCAGCACCATGAGTTTCTGCTTCGGTGGTGGCAAAAACTGCATTCAACGGTGGGTCGCCATCCGCCAGCATGCCGGCGGCAACGAGCTTCTGCACTGTTGCGTTCATAGAACCCTGCAAACTGCTTCCCTCTCTTCATCCTTCCCCTTCACGCACAGCCACTGCTCCGCTTACCACCGTCACAGGACTGGGGGGGCTCGGGACGCAGAAGAGTCAGATGGGAGAGGAGATAGGGAATGTGTTTCAGTACGCGCATGCTCTGATCCTCTGCGACTGAAGCACAACCACCCCCAAGCCTAAAAGGCTGACAAGCAAACGCAAGACACAAAGGGACAGCGGAGAGTCAAAGAGAGAGGAACCCTGACACCCCACGAGCTGAGTTACAATCACGACGGCACCACGGCACGGCAAGGCACCGCACCAAATATTGAATCTTCGGAACCGCAAGGCACGGCACGGCGGAGCGAGCGCGCTGCACGGCAGCAAACAGCGCTGCATTATAGCATGGCACGGCAAGGTACGGTGCCATGGTACGGCACGCCATGGCACCTCCAGGCACCAGGATCACCGATAGGCTGTCTAGGACACCAGGTCTCAGAACACATCCCATTACTCCCATCCGGCCCCTCCTCGGTTGTCTGGACTGGGGCCGTTGAGCCGACGACGCGCTGCCACTCCCTCTTCAGCCGATGGGACTGGGAAGGACCAGCAGGAGGGCGAACTGAGGAAATGAAGCAGGAGGGGGTGGGAGGGGTCGGCCGAACTCGGCATTGCAGCAGTCTGCGCGTCGTGTTGCAGAAAGATTCTCACCCCGAGACCCGAGGGGGGGGTACGGTTGTAGCCGCCGCCACCATGCCCAGCGACGGGATGCCCGGCCCCGAGTCAGAGGAGGGGGAGGAGGGAGGAGAGAGGGGGGAAGGAGGGAAGGAGGAGGGAGGGAGGAGGGAGGGGGGAGGAGGGAGGGAGGAGAGAAGGGGGGGAGGGAGAGGAGAAAAAGAGAGCTTGCTCGCCCTCTCCCCAGCCGGGCCTGGGTAGCCCATCTGCTGCCCGTAGCCGCCCATCTGCCCCATCTGCTGCTGCTGGGCGAGCCATTGCTGCTGCTGCTGGAAGGCGGCCTTTCCAGGCGCGCGCGCGGGCCCCAGGGGAACAGCAGGAGGAGAGGGAAAGAAGCAGGAGAGTGAGGAGAAAAGACGAGAACAGGAGGGAGGGATTGGGGGAGAAGGAGAAGGATGTTGGTTGGCGAGCCAAACTCGCAGCACGAATGAAGAGGAGAACGGTACAATTGACCAGTCTGGCGCATGGGGTTGTGGAAGGTTTGTGTTTGCTCGTTGCGTCCGTCCTTCAACCAGCCGTCGTCATATTGTTGTCCCATGTTTGCGCCATCTGACGCTATCGTCCTCAGCCGACTGGATGTCCTCATCATGTTTCGACTCCCCGTTATTATCATCGCCACCAGCATTATATTCGTTGTCATCTGCACCAGTATCATCATCGCCGCCACCACCATCACCATCATCACAAAGCGCCTGGTCAGCACGGTCAGCATCACCATAAAAAAATAATCGCTCTCCTTTTCCCACCTCAGACAAGCCCGCACCTTCCCCATTTGTATCAGTCGTGTCCGCCCGTGTTTCCTGTGGGTGCGCCGCGCGCGACGGGACGCAATCTGACCCTCCCCGCCAATGCACGGGGGGGCGGGACGAAGGTGAACATCTGGCGGCCGCACGTATTGTTGCAGTGCCTTTGCTTCCGCCTGGCACCAACTGAAAACCGTGGCACCACAAGCCGCTGATCGGGCGCTCGCGCGAAGAATGTGGCGACGGGCCCGGGGGGGGAAGTGAGAAGGGGCGGGCCTTCTCAGAAGGCTCGGAAATCCCCCAGCCTTCTGAGAAGCTTCTTAGACATCCGGTGAAGACGCAAAAAAAAAACCTCTCTGAAGGCGCGATGGCTTCTGGAAAGTCCCGCCGCCTTCTGAGAGAGCCGTCCCCTGCTGACTTCCCCCCTTCGCTCGACCCGCCGGGCGTGGGCCCCCCGACCCCGCCGTCGGGCGCGCACTCCCCCGAGGGCGCGGGGACCGGGCCGATTTCCCAACCATGCTGTGGTGTTGGGTCCTCGTTTTGCATCCTCTCCTTCCTCCTCCCTCTCCTCCCCCTCCCCTCCTCGCCTCCCTCCTCTCCTTCCTCCTCGCTTCCCTCCTCGTTTTGAATCCTCTTCTTCCTCCTCTCCTTCCTCCTCGCTTCGTGGCCCCATGGTAGTGTTGGGTCCTCGTTTTGAACCCTCTCCTTCCTCCTCCCTTTCCTCCCCTTCCCCTCCTCCCGTCGCCCCCTTTCATGTTGGCACACCCCTCACACGCTTCGTGGCCCTACAATGGTGTTGGGTCCTCGTTTCCCAACCATTATGTGGTGTTGGGTCCTCGTTTTGAATCCTCTCCTTCCTCCTCCCTATCCTCCCCCTCCCCTCCTCCCGTCACCCTTTCTCATGTTGGCACACGCCTCACACGCTTCGTGGCCCCACAATGGTGTTGAGCCCTCGTTTTGAATCCTCTCCTTCCTCCTCCCTTTCCTCCCCTTCCCCTCCTCCCGTCACCCCTTTCATGTTGGCACACCCTTCACACGCTTCGTGGACCCATTGGGACTTCCCCGAATGTCCCAATGGCGCATCCCGCATACGTTCCCGCCACCGATTCCGGCACACCCCTCACACACGTCGTGACCCCATAAGAGCTCCACCGAAGGTCGTCCAATTTGTTGAGCCCGCATGCGTCCCCGCCACCAATTTCGGCACACCTCTCACACGCTTCGTAGCCGCTGAGGAGCTCCGCCAAGGGTTCCAATTCCAACGGGGACGCGCCACCCATTTTGACAAACCCCTTACTCGTTTCGTGGCCCCGTAGAGAGCTCCGCCGAAGGACCCACTTGCGCAGCCCGCATGCGTCCCCGCCACCAAATTTGACGCACCCCCCACACGCTTCGTGGCCCCATGGGAACACCGAATGTCCCAGTGGCGCAGCCCGCATGCGTCCCCGCCACCAATTGCGGCACACCCCATCACGCGATTCGTGGTCCCATAGGAGCTCCACCGAAAGCCCCAATGGCGCAGCCCGCCTGCGTCCGCGCTACAAATTTCGGCACACCTTTCGCACGCTTCGATTTCGGCACGCCCCTTACACGTTCCGTGGCCCTAGAGGGGGAGCTCCACCAAAGGCCCCAGTGGCGGTGCCCACGTGCGCCCCCGCCACCAATTTCGGCACACCCCGCATACGCTTCGTGGCCCCTGAGGAAGCTTGATCGAAGGCCCTACTGGCATTGCCCACATGTGTCCCCGCCACCGATGTCGGCACACCTCCCACATGCTTCGTGGCCCCATAGGCAGCTCCACCGAAGGCCCCAGTGGCGAGGTGAATAAGCGCACCCGCAACCCATTTCGGCACACCCCTCACACGCTTCGTGGCCCCATATGAAGTTCCACCGATGGGCCCAACGCCGCAGCCCGCGTGCGCCCCCGCAACCCACGTCGGCACATCCCTCACACGCTTCGTGGCATCATAGGGAGCCCAACCGAAGACGATACTCACAACTGCGTCATTCAAAAGTGCATATGGATGGGTCCTTCGCTAATTGCTTGTTGCGTTGTAGGAATCAGGCCTCTTGTTTGGGAGCGACCATTATCCACGAACATACACACACACACAAGCACGCACGCACGCACGCACGCACGCACGCACGCACGCACGCACGCACGCACACACACACACACACACACACACACACACACACACACACACACACACACACACACACACACACACACACAAACAAACAAACAAACAAACAAACAAAGTAACCAAAACTGTCAGCCGGCGGCGCAAAGGAACCGCAGGCGTGGTCGGCAGATGGAGGCGCCAATTGCAAACGAACTTAATCGAACGAGCAGTAACGAAAAAATCCAGCCACGGCCATGCAGCTAAGGGGTGGCGGCGAAAAGATGAGGCAGTGCAAAGCCAAAGCGCAGCGGCCAAGCATCCCGCGGAGCGTAGCTCGACGCTAGGAGTTGATGCGCGAGCAGCAGTCTGGCGCTGATTAGCCAGGGGAGCGCAGCGGCCAAACATCCCGCGGAGCACAGCTCTACGCCAAGAGTTGAAGCGCGCGCAGCAGTCCGGCGCAAATGCCTTTAAAAGGACACGCACTGTAAAGCTGCCACATTAGCCAGCAAGCGGCGGCACGACACAGGCACGGGCGAGAGAGGCACCGCCGCCAGGCAAGCAAGCAACAAACACGGCAGAACGCCGCGCAGGCGCAAGTAGCGCAGAGACAGCGCGCGTTTGAAACATAAGGCCAAATCAAACAGCCAAGCTGACGTGCAAAGCGGGCGCCGCCGCAAAGAAGCAAAACCACCGCGGGTAACGCTGCGTCAACCACGGATGAAAGACAACGCAAGAAGCAAACACCTGGACGGCATCACACCTGCACGAGTCACAACAAGGTCGCACTACTCCGACCAGGGGCAATCACGCGGAGAAAAACAACAAGCGAGCCCGCCACTGGGGTGCGCCAACCGCTGGCACGCGAGCTGCCAGCGAGATGCGACCTGCAGAACCAGCAGCGACTCACACCCCAGATGCAGCGCAGACACCAAAACTTAAAGCGGCCGCGACCATGCCAGCCAGCACCCAGTCCCAGGCGCAAGCAGCAAGGCGGCACGGCCACCGCTGGACATGCTGCCAGCGGGAAAAAGCGCCGACCACATGCGGTGTCCGCGGAAATTGCCAGGCACACCCGCGGGAGCGCAAGAACACCAGCGCCCCGGACAACCACGAGAGGCGCGAGGCACCGCCAGACCGCGCCCCCGAGACACCCTGGATGGACAACAGGCGAGGCGCCCAGAGACAACCGGCGGTAAAAAATGCAACCCAACAGCGGGCACGATGGCGCAGAAAAAAACAACGGCAATCTGCCCCACATCGAGTCCTGGGGCGCGCCACACAAAGAAAGTGGGACGCGGCCAAGCCGGGCCAGGCCCCGCACTGGGGCGCAAGCAGCAAGGCGGCACAGCCACCGCTGGACAGTCCGCCAACGGGAAAAAGCGCCGACCACATGCAGGCCCGCGGAAATTGCCACGCACACCCCTGGGAGCGCAAGAACGCCAGTGCCCCGACCAACCACGAGGTGCGAGGCACTGACAGGCCGCGCCCCCGAGACACCCCGGATGGACAACTGGCGAGGCGCCCAGGGACAACTGGCGGCGAAATACTGAACAACAGCGGGCAGGATGGAGCAGAAAAAACAACAGCAACCTGCTCCGAATCGAAGCCTGGGAAGTGCGACAGAAGGAGCGGCGGGCCGCGGCGGGGCCGGCCCACGCCCCGTGCCGGGGCGCAGGCAGCAAGGCGGCAAGGCCACCGCCGGCCCGAGGGACCGACGGAAAAAGGCGCTACAACACGTGCGCGGAGCGCAGATCCAGGGAAGGACAGAAACATTGGCGGCGTAGACAGGACAAGACACAGCCGAGGACCAAGACGACGGCCGCCAGGCACAGGCCAGCCTTCCAGAGGTCCTTCCGACTAAAGCGACGCGAGACAGGAGCGACAAACTCCGCCCACCGCTTCGCTGGGCAAGCCACGAGGCAGCTGGAGGCAGCGAAACGAAAGCCCAGCCCCGGCGGCCACCGCGCGGAGCGGGGGGAGGCGCGAAGAGCGGCGAGCGGCAACACTTCAACTACGCAGAAACTGGGAGCCCCAGCGAGGACACGCAGAGGCTCGCAAAGCGAGGAACAGGAGAGAAAGCACCATGGCGCAGAGAGGACACACTACCGCCAGCAGCAACGCACAACAATGGCAAGGGCAGTCCTCAATTCACTTCGTTTGCAAATCACGGGCGGGGGCACGGCGTAGCCTCGGTAGCTCCCGCCTCCGTTCGCAGCGCGTTGTCGCCCCCGAACGCCTTGTCAGCATGGGCCCCACCTCCTCTGGATTATATCGAGCGGCCAAAATATGAGTGGAGGCCATGGGCGAAAGAAAAGTGGACCACGACAGAAACGACGGTCGCCCTCCTTCGCGTTACACACGACGCACACAAGCGAACGCTGTCCGGGAACCCATACTGCACTTGGCATCCTTCCGACGGCCTGGCACTCCTTGGAAACTGCCGACGCTGCCAGGCCACAGCCTACAACGCGGCCTCACCAAAGTCCTCCGAACGGCTTCATCGAGGAGCTGGCTCCACTTGTTGCGCGCTACCCCCCCGGCGACGACACGCGGCGAAACGCCGCGCCGACGTTGGCGCGAAGAGGAGGACAGGCCCGACGAAAACCCTGCAAGCAAAGCCCGTGCCTAGACCACCAGAGCAGGCCCCATAGACAGGCGTCCTCTGCCATGGCGGCTACCGGTCGGCAAGGATGAGATCCGCAGCCTAACAGATGTGCACCTCGCTGGAAAGATGGGCGGCGCGTAACTGGCAGTCTCCTCGAAGAACGCCCGCACAGCATTGAAAGGTCCCAGGGCCGCAGGGCACGCACGGCCGCAGGAGCCATTGAGAGTGATCGGCTGCCTTTGAGGCCCCGAATACAGGGAGTGCCATCGCGGAGAATGCGAGCTCCGCGCCCTGCTACTCTGGAGCCTGCAAGGCTACTAGCGACGGTCGCATTCAACCCTGACCCAGTTGATGCGACGCGGGGCCCGATCCCTTTCGCGAGCCCCCTGCCGTTGCGAGGTGCCTCGAGATGCCACCCCGAGACACGGCCACCGGCACCACCCCCACTTGGCCGCCAGCCTCAAGCAGCGGAGGTCCCGCTGCCCAAGGACTTCAGTTCCCGCGCCCCCCACGTCGGGGGACCCCTTCGAATAACCCCATCGGGCCTCTCAGGGGTGGTACGGCGGGCCCCCACCTACTGTGGCTGGCCAACCACAGGGCAAGAGTCTCTCCCACAGCCCCGTCAAGCTGTGGTGACGATCGGGCTGCCAACCCGCCTGTTTTCCTGGGACGCCACGAGGGCACCCAGCGGCACAGGTGTCCGGTGCTGGTTTCCACGTGGACGGCTCTGCGCGTCGTGGCCTCTGCCGCGTCTGCTCGTTTCCCTGTTCGACTGGTGGTCGGTTGAGCTGCCGATTGCCTTCAGTACGTGCCACCTCCTGTCCCCGTGTCCGCTGGATTGCCTCCCTGCGCTCATGGATGGCCCGTACCGAATCCCACCTTGACGCATGTCCCGCAAGGATTCGGCCCTCTCGTTGAAGCGCTTCCTCTGAAGGTGACTAGTCATGTTCCTGTGAAGGATACAGTCCTGGGGGCTTCAGTGTCCCTTGTCAAGGGGGCGGCGTACTCCGGATGACGATCGGTGGTGTGTGCCATGAGCGCATCGCCGTACGTTATCCTAAAGATCACCCACCCCAGGTCTGTCAGCACATTCACGTCGAAGAAACGAGGCCGGTAGTTGTGTTTCTTGCCGCCGTGGGTCCAGGACTGTCCTTGCGACGAATTCGTCACCGATGTGGGCCGACCAGCGGCCCCCAGCGGGGATGGGAGTGTCTCTCGTGCCATGCAGGCGGGCCACCGCGTCTGCAAGAGCTTGTTATATCTCAAAGCATTGGTGGACGGGGTGCTCGCCTGTCCGGACCCAATCACGGGAGTAGAATCCGATCAGGACGCTGTTCTTCTCGTACCACGTCCAGCTTCCAATGTTGTTCGCCTTCTTGATGTCGGAACCGCACGAGCGCGCCCAGCTTCTAGCATGTCATAGTTGTAGTCTGAAGTGTTCGGCATCAGAAAACATATATTGTCACACGGATCGTGCCTAAAGGTTCATACAGCGCCCCCCCGCCCATGTCGGTACACCCGTCACGCGAATCATGCCCCAGGAGGAGCTCCACCTATGGCACCAGTGGGCAGCTTCGCATGACGTCCCCCCGCCCGTTTTGGAACATCCCTCGCACGGGTCGTGCCCAGAGGGGGTCCACCCGCAGCCTTAGAGGGCATGTGCTCGCGGGGGCATCCGAATCATTCGACACACCCTTCACGCGGGTCGTGCCCCAGAAAGAGTCCAGCGCACCCGTGCACGCGTGCTCCGCAGCAGCCATCTTTCCGCGATGACCCGCGGCGCGCAATGTACGAAGAGAGACCCGCGCTCTGTGCTACACACGAGTGCACAAAGATGTGTCCATCGCCGAACAAATTTCGCGCTTACGGGGCGAAGCAATGCTGGCCTACTGGGCCATCTCTAGGCGCATCTTCAAGCCAACGTAGGTCGATTTTTTGCCTCATGAACCGTCTGATTATGGCGTATTCGGCCCTGTCAGGCCACTCTGGTAGCTCGTTGGCAGCCTCGGAACTGTTTGAGCGGCGGGGTGGAGGCCCGGGGAGCTCCGGAAGGGGTCTAACATGTCGTGGGCCAAAAAAGTCTGGGAGGGTTTCTAGCCCAGTTTTGGTCCTCCTCCTCTTCCTCTTCCTCTTCCTCGTCCTCGTCCTCGTCCCCGCCGTCGACCCTCCTGCTGCTCCTCCTCCTCCACCTCGTCATCCTTATCATCAACATCATCACATTCATCTTCTTCATCATCATCATCAGCATCAGCAGCAGCATCATCATCATCACCAGCATCATCAGCATCATCATCAAATTCATCATCATCATCATCATCATCATCATCATCATCATCATCATCATCATCATCATCATCATCATCATCATCATCACCGTCACCGTCACCATCACCGTCATCATCACCATCATCATCAGCATCATCAGCATCATCAGCAGCATCATCACCGTCATCACCATCATCATCAACATCATCTTCCTTCTCCCCATCCTCTTCCTCCTCCTCATCATCTTCCTCTTCCTCCTCCTCCTTCCTCCTGCTCCTCATCTTCCTCCTCCCCCTCCTTCGCCTCCGCCTCCTCCTGCGAACTCTCAGAACTCTCCGAATCCTAAACACGACTGGCACACGGCGGGGGGGAGGCGCTGGCGAGCCCCTGCCTGCTGGTCGTAGCCGTAGCCCTGCTGCCCGTAGCCGTAGCCCCC